TACGTTTAGTGCGTTGACGAGGCAAGGTTGCGAGGGGTGGTGCGTTGGTGGCGTATGACGTAGTGACCGGGTTCGCTTTGTTTGGCGGGGTTTCGGGGCTTTATATACCTGTCTTGTCGGTAGTTCGTACTTATGTTGTTTGTTTAGTTGTATTTTCTTTTTTCTATTTCTATTTTTTTTATTTGCTCTTACGAGCATGCAGACTTCTTTTCTCTGTTCTTTTCTTCTCGTTGCTCGGTCTCGTTCCTCTCTTTCTCTCTTTCTCCTTTCTACCTTCTCTTCCCGTCCTCTACCCTCTCCGGCATCCGCTCCTTTCTCTTTTTCCTTTTCCGTAACTCTCTCAGAAGATTCCTCCCTTCCTATCCCTGCTTTCCCTTTCCTGTTTCCCTCGCTTCCTCAGGACTTCATCTTCTTCCTCTCATGCTCCCCCTTTCTCCTTCCTTCCCTCCTCTCTCCCGATCGTTTGCCTCTCGCTTCCTCAGCTCTCTCCCAGCCCCCCTTTCTCCTCGCTTCCCTTGCTCTCTTCATCTCGCACACTCCCACGCCTTCGCTCCTTCCTTTATCCTGCCCCCCCTCCCCGCTTTACCTTCTTCCTTCCCTCCCTCCCTCCTCCCGCCCCTTTTCTCTCTTCCATATCTTGCCCTTTCTACTCGGCCCCTGCTTCCCTCCTTGCCTTCTCCTCTCTCCCCTGTCCCCCCTTCACCCTCCTGTAGCCTTCCTGCGCCTCGTTCCCTCCCCCCCTGCCTTTCTCCTTCCTTCCTCTCCTTTCCACACCGCCGACTTCCCCCAATCTCTCCATGCTGTACCTCTCGTTCCTTTCCCCACTTTCCCCGTCTGCTCTAACGCAATTCAATCATAGAAAGTACTTAGTCGCTCAAGTACCTAACCTACATGCAAATGAACCCACTCAGCGCCTCTGGGTAAGGATATGGGGCCTCACCCTTCCTTCAAACTACCTCGTGACCCTCGATTTAGATCTAAGCGGCTGGTCTCGCGTAAAATCCCTTACCCAAACATCCTGCCCTCTTCTGTGAGCAAGTACATAGGACACCTATTACGCGAAGGGGGAATAATCACAGAGAATTGATGTGTTAGAAGCGCGTCAGAGGTAACCTTGGAGTACCACGTTTTAAAAAATGCGTATTATTTCCAGGTTCGTGTTGTAGTTCGTGGTTGGGGGGTGGGGGTGGGGGTGGGGGGAAGGACTTGCTGTGGTTTGTGAGGAGGTAACAGTAGCACTGGGTTAAAAAAGAAGTAAGATAGATCGGAGAGAAAAGAGCGAGAAAAAAAAGGTCATTAATTACGCCCTTGCACGAGAAAAAAAGATGTATTACCACTTACTTCTTGAGTCGACCTTGACTTTCGTTCTAGTTCACTGAGTCTGTGAGGAGTCTTATGCCCACTGACTAACAAACTGCTTTTAGCGAGAGAAAAAACTGACGTTCCAGCAAGTCAATATTTCAAAGTTTATCGCTTATTCCACGAATAGTGAGTAACGCTCATTGCATATAAACCCAATATCGTCCACTGAGACTTGTACCATAAATGTTCTGGAACACAAGAGGTATTTGGGACAAAGAGACACAAGAGAGGCATTACATCAAATATATTATTGTAATAGCATAGAACAAATATTATATATCTGCTACTTGTACTATGGCTACTACTACTTCTACTATTATTACTACTACTACTGCTACTGCTATCAACATTGAAAATAACAATATTAACTGTATTAGTAATAATCCTTGTTATTGTCATTGCCACTGCTACGATTTTTTATCAGTATTATTGTCTGTCCTTCTCTATCTCTCTGGCGGTAACCATGACTTCGAAGCAGTATTGTTATATCGTCCAGCTTCCAGCTAATACTAGTTACAGCAGGAAACCACACGCGGTGGCAGCAGCAAGAGTGATAATGTCAGTGAATGATAGTGAATGATAATGGTCGTAGTGGTGATGAATCTGATGATGTGGGAATGATAATAATGATGAAAATAATAATAATGAGAACCAATGTCGTCTTGGGGTTTGCATTTTTCCCTATTCTGTTTATTCATTTTATCTTTTTCTCTATCATTATCTTTTTTATGCTCTTTCCTCGACAAACTACGTGCAAATTTGCATTTTTTTGAATGAATATTTATGTTCTATTTAAACCTTCAGTTATCACAACGCAATTTGCATATTAACATTGTAATGTTTTTAATTAGTTTTCAAGATGTGTTGCTGTCGCTCTGCTTATAATTATTATACGTCTGTTGTTGTTTATTTACTCATTCACTGATTTATTAATTTGTCTATCTATTCTTTACTATGTATTTATCATTATATATTTAGATTCATCTGTTTATTCTTTATTTCTATTTTTGTGGAGCTCTTTGTAATTTTTCTTTCCATTTTTCATATATTTTTTGTTTCACCGTGTCGCTTGTTGTTTTCGAGATCGTTAACCTCATTTTTTTCTCCTTTTATCACATTTATTCTCTTACTTCCACCTTTTCTTTCTTACTTTCTTACTTTACTTTTACTTTCTTTTTTTCTCTCTCTTATCCCTTCCCTTTTCTTCTCTTCTTAATATAACTATCTCCCTCTGCCTCTCATTTTTATCACTACTTTTCTCATCTCCTCCATTTATCCTTTCTCTTCCCCTTTCCTTTCTTCCCTCCTACGTTCCTGTTCGTCCTCAGCGCGCACGTCGTAGCCTGTAGCGGTTCTCGAAGGTCGACGAGTGTGTCCTACCCTTCTGTCGACCACGCCCACCTCTCGTAACGCCCTCTCCTTTCCTTTAAACTCCGCCTACTCCTCCTTAAGCCACGCCTACTCCTCTCAAGTCCCACTTATTCCTCCTCGAGCCCTCTCAAAACCACGCCTACTACTTCTCTCAAGTTCTGCTTACTCCTCGAGACACCCTACTCTCCTCTCAAAGTCCTTCCTCCTCGAAGCCAACCACGCCTACTACTCCTCTCAAGTCCCACCTACCCTCGAGCACACCTACTACTCCTCTCAAGTCCCACCTACTCCTCGAGAGGCAATCTACTACTCTCAACCGCCCACTCATCCTCGAACCCCTTTTCACGTCCTACCTACTCCTCTACTCCTCCAATACTTCTTTTAAGCTCCGCCTCCTCCTCCACACCTTTCTTCTCCGTTAGATTTCAAAACATACCCTGTGCCCTGTTACATTACTTGGGTACGAAATGTATAAAGGCTAAATAAACAATTCATAATTATTGTATCGCAGTAAAGTGAATGAGGATTTTACACAACATAAGAGATGTATTTAATTTTTTTTTTCGAATATGTCTTCGTCAGAAATACATACAAACGTATCTCACGAAGATATTGATTGTGATAATGATGATGATGATAATGATGATAATCATAATTAATGATGATAATGATAATGCTAATGATAATAACAATAATGATATTAATGATAATGATAATAATAGAAGTAATGATAATGATAATGATAATAATGAGTTATGATAATGATTATAACAAAAGTAATAGTAATAATACTAATAATAACGATGATGATGATAATGATAGTGAAATTAAAAATAATGCTGATAATGATCATAACAATAATAGTAATAATAGTGATAATAACAACAAAAAACAAGATTGATAACAAATGATAATAATAATATCAATGATACTTCCACTACTACTACTATTACTATTAACAGTATTAAAGTTGATGATAATACTATTAATAATGATAATAATGATAATAATGATAAGAAGAAAAATAATAGAAATAATGATAATAATAATGATAATAACAATAATGGTAAGGATAATGATAATGGTAAACAAAAAGATGATAATAATGATATTAACAATAAGGGTAATAATAACAATGAAAATGATAATGATAATAATGATAATGGCAATGATAATAGTAATAATAATAATAACAATGATAATTACAGCAATAATAATGATTATGATATCAATAATAGTAATGATAATCATAGCAATAATGATGATAGCAATGATAATATAAACAATAATTGTTTTAATGATAAACATAACAATAATGATAACTGAAATCAAAGCAATAATGATGACAGTGATAACAATAAGGAAAGTAATGATAATAATAATGATAGTGATGATAATAACATTAATGATAATGAATAACAATAGAAATGATAACAATAATAATAATGATAAATAATAACAATAACAATAATGATAATAAAGATAATGATAATAACAACAATGATAGCAATAATATAAATAATAAATAATGATAACAATAATAATAATAATGATAATAATATTATAATGATAATGATAATGAAAAATAATGATAATAACAATAACAATAATGATAATAATAATAATAACAATAATGATAATAACAATAATAATAAACAATAATAATAATAATAACAATAATGATAATAACAATAACAATAATGATAATAATGATAATAACTAATGATAATAACAATAATAATACAATAATGATAATAACAATAATAATACAATAATGATAACAATAATGATAATAATGATAATAAATAATGATGATAATAACATAACAATAAACAATAATGATAACACCAAGCATCACAAAGAGAGAAAATAAAAGTTAACGAACACAAGTCCAGAAGTTCACACCCTGATGAAATCTCCATGCTTTGACTTCCTGGTAGACGCACGCCCTACCACATCTACCACTCAAACCAGGGCGTGGTAGACAACGAGGTAGGTGGGCGTGGTTGTGGGCGTGGCAGAGAGATAGTCCGCGCCTACATCTACCCCCATTGGCCTTCAGGAGATCCATATATATAGAAATAAACATGTTTATTCTTTCTAAACAAGGGACCTCGGAATGAGGCTGTTCGGTCGTCCCGAAACCCTTGTTTGCGTTCCTTTGTGTTTTCTTTGTTTGTTTTGGGATTGCTTTGCGTTTGTTTGTCTTTGTTTGCTTTCTTTTTTTCTTGTTCTTTGTATTTGTTTGGCTTCCGTTGTTTTTAGTTGTTTACGTCTTTTGTTTCTTGTTTCTATCTTTTTCTTTTTTCTTGTTATTTGTTTGCGTTCCTTTGTTTTTGGGATTCCTTTGTGTTTGTTTCTCTTGTTTACACTTCTTTGTTTGTTTTTCAGCTTTTCTTTGCGTTCCTTTGTTTGCTTTTTTTTGTTTCTTCCTGTTCTTTGTTTCTATTTTTTTCTTTGTATGCTTTCATTTGTTTTTCTATTTGTTTGCGTTCCTTTGAATCTTATTTGTTTGGCTTCCTTTGTGTTTGTTTTTCTTTGTTTACGTTGTTTCTTCGTTTCCTTTTTTTCTTTGATTGCTTTCCTTTGTTTCATCCTGTTCTTTGTTTAAGTTCCTTTGTTTTTCTTTGTTTCTATCTCTTTTCTACTTTTTATGTGCCTTTGTTTTTTCTTTGTATTTCTATATTTTTTCTTTGTTTGCTTTCTTTTGTTTTTTCTTAATCGTTGTGTGTCCTTTTTCTTGAGATTTTGTTTGTTTATTTTAGAATTTGGTTTGATTGGAAGCTTGTAATAGATTTAGTAAAATTCATTGGTGATAATGATAATGAAAATAGCAATATGCAGTTAGTTTTCCTATTTTCTTGAGATTTTGTTTGTTTATATTTAGAATCTTGGTTTGATTGGAAGCTTACGATAATCATGGTAATAGTAACTACAATAACGATAATAACAATAATGATAATGATGATGCCAGTGATGATAACGATAATCAAAATAATAACGATGATTTTGATAACAAAAATACTATTATTATCATTGCTACTATTGCTGATACTGCTACTACAACGATAACAACTAATTCTACTACTATGGTAGTGGTGAAAATATTAATGATGATAATTATAATCATTATTATTATCGTAATAGAAAAAAAATAATGGCAATAATTGTAATGATAATATTAGTGATGCTAGTAATAATAATAGTAATAATACTGGTAATGATAATGATTATGAAATGATTGTCATAATAACAGTAATAGTGACAAAATAAAGAAATAAAAATAACGATAAGAAGTAAGATAAAAACATCAATCTACCAACATTAGTCAGAATCAGATCCCCAAATTGATACCCTGGCGATTACTAGGCCAAAGTGATTACGGGACAAAGAAGAGGGGGGGGGGGGGTGATGGAGGAAGGGAGGAGGGAATAACGAACCAGGAACGGTGGGGTGGGGGTGCGTGGGGTGGGGGGGGGGAGGTGATCTGAGAGGAAAACGGCCTACCTGCATTTACGCTAGCTAGGCCTAGGTACGCGTCCAAGACCTATCGATCTAGGCTTGGTGACTTCCTGGTTGGTGGTGACATAGATTCCATTTCCTGAATGATGTGATGTGTGGGAGCTGTTCAGCGTGTTTGTTATGAAATGGTAATAGTGATGATTTTTTAAGTGAATGGATTTGTTAATAAAGACTGTGTAGTTGACTGAGAAGATTTTTGAACTAGATATCATCATGGATTAAATTGGAAGGGGAGGAGAGGGGGAGATGGAGGGAGGCAGAGAGAGAGGAGAGAAAGGGAGGAGGGAGAGAGAGGGAGGGAGGTTGAGAGAGAGGGGAGGGACGGTAGAGGAGAGGGGAGTGAGGGTGAACGGTGAGGGAGGGAGGAGCGGAGGAGGGCAGGGAGGGAGGGAGAGGAGGAGAGGAGGAAGAGGAGAGGAGGAGGGAGGGAGGGATGAGAGAGAGAGGAGGGGGAGGGGGAGAGAGAGAGAGGAGGAGGAGGAGGGAGGGAGAGAGAGAGGGAGAGAGAGGGAGGGAGAGAGAGGGGTAGGGAGCGGGAGGGAGGGAGGGAGGACCGAGAGAGCGGGATGAGAGAGAGAGAGGGAGAGGAGAGAGAGAGAGAGGAGGAGAGGGAAGGGAGGGAGGGAGGAGGGAGGGGAAAGGGCAGAGGGAGGAGAGAGAGAGAGGAAAGAAGAGGAGGGAGGAGAGAGAAGAGAGAGGAGAGAGAGAGGAGGAGAGAGAGGAGGAGGGAGAGAGAGAGAGAGAGGGAAGGAGAGAGAGAGAGAGGAGAGGAGAGAGGAGAGAGAGAGAGGAGAGAGAGAGAGAGAGAGAGAGAGAGAGAGAAGAAGGAGAGAGAGAGAGGGAGAGAGAGAGAGGAGAGAGAGAGAGAGAGAAGAGAGAGAGAGAAGAAGAGAGAGAGAGAGAATGAGAGAGAGAGAAGGGAGAGAGAAGATGGAGAAAAGGGAAAGAGAGGAGAGAGAGAGCAGAGAAAGAGGGGAGAGAAGAGAAGAGAGAGAGGAGAGGAGAGAGAGAGAGGAGAGAGAGGAGAAAGGAGAGGGAGAGAGGAGGAGAGAGGGAGGGAGAGGGAAGGGAGGAGGAGGGAAGGGGAGGGGAGGAGGGAGGGAGGGGAGGGAAGGGAGGAGGGGAGGGAGGGGAGGGAGGAAGCAGAAGAGAAAAGGGGGAATGAAAGGGAAGGGAGGGGGAGGAGAGGAGGAGGGAGGAGAGAGGGAGAGGGAGAGAGAGAGAGGTAGGAAGCGGGAGGGAGGA